GCATTATGCAAAAAAAGAATTAGCTTTTCTTTTTGAAGATTGAAAGAAACCTGATTTCAGAGTGAGTTTTAAGAAAGACTGAGCTTGTCCTCAAAATGTACAACTTGTTTATTCGACTATTTTCTGAGAGTCCACATGTTTAGTGTGTAAAATTTGAAAATGTTATTAGTGCAGGGTAGAGGACTATTATTCCATTTGCAGCATATTCCCATCTTCTCATCTGGAAAATTAAATCTGATTACAGCTTGGATTAACATTTATGGTTGTAGGGAGGAGGAGAAGATAGTATCTTAAACTCCATGAAACTGAACAATGAGATTATATCGGTTATAGCTAATGTTAAAGTCTTGCCTTTTAAAGCGCTGATTTTTGTAATTGTAAGCTTTTAAATTGGTTTAGTATTTTATCTCTTATTGACTGAAACATCCTAGAGATAATGATTGGGTGAATTCAATCATGAAATATAACGTTTTCTGCCCTGATACCTAGGATTTTCAAAGTGAAAGCAATGTAGATTCCATTGTTAGCGGCTACTTTTGCAGTAAATTTAATTTTCCTAAAAGAGCTCCAGTTATAGAAGGTAATGACATTTGGTTAGTATGCAGTTGTTATGCGTTTCATGCAAAATGAACTCAGTGTATTTTAAAATAATCAGTTTAAAAATATGTCATACCTTGACTCTTCAAATGGAGTCATTGGTGTGACAAGGAAACAGGAAAATAATTTAGTAAGATCTGTCTGTGTGTGTGTGTGTGTGCGCGTGTGTACATACCCTAGTTACTGATGTACAAATAAGCCTTCATACATAACCACAGTACTTTTATGAATTATTTTGCATTTCTGTTGTAAAAGATCTGTCTACCACGTTTTCTAGGAACTTTAAGCCTAAGGCAGAACTCAAGGTTTTTGGAGCCTGTGTAAAATAATTTATAGCACCTTTCCAGTAAGTCTTGCCCACACTCTTATTCTATTAATTAAACATCCTGTGGCAATCTGGTATATCTTAAAGATTTTGAAGTATGTACAGTAGAAGGCTAGAAAACATAAGACTGTTGAGATTGAAGAAAATTAGCCTTTCTTTAAAACAAGAAAAAAAGTAAGACATGTTTGTTCTGGAGATCAGTTTTTTGCTGCTGTCGAGACACAGCCTTTTAAATGTGGCCATGTTCTGTGCCTGACTGAGAGTGTGTTGCTGGGGGTCCTATACTGTGAAAATTCTGTTTTAAATATGGGGATGCTGCTTCTGGTCTTCAGAGAAAGTGATGCACAGGGTTCTGTGGAGACCCTTCGACAGCCATGGTGCTGGAACGTCACATGGCCTATTGGGTTGGTTACGAGATGTGTGGACTCTATAGAACAGTACATATTGTTGGTGAGATATTTTAAATGCAACGTTTTGTTGTTGAAAAGTATTTTCCTGGGCGATCATGAAATTGATTTTTAAGTTTGTAAGGCTCTTATTCCTCAAATCAGAAGAAAGTTGCTGAGAGAGGAAGGTAAGGAAAGCAGATTGTGCTGTGTACCGCTATATTATGCTCTTAATTTTCTGTTGAGGAGAATTCTTAGTGAAAGACCTTGACATATGCTGATAACTCTATTCTGACTGCCGGTTGCCTAAGCAAATTATGTTACCTTTTTCCATGGTACTCTTATCTGCAGATATTTTTGTGTTCAAAGTTAGCTGTTTGGTGACACTACATTTGGCGGTGAGCTTATGAATGTGAGAAGGTGTTTTGGAACATTAGCAATTATAGCATTGGATGGTGGATAAAGAAATAGATATATAAATATTAGACCGATGCACGGTTTTCCAGTGTATGTTATTTTCCATATAAAGATATAGAACATTTCATAAAATGTTCCCAGACCATTTAAAACTCAAAGAAATGCAGCTGACGCAATGAAATACATAGAGTACTTGTAAAAACATACAGACACGCAAGTGGATTGCTGCCAGACAGAAAATTTAAAGGCGGTTTGCTTAACTGCAGGGTGCTAGATTTTGTACATGTGCCATGCTGAAACTGTTAGTAAGGCTGGTGTTGTGTTGCTTGAGAAAAGCAGATTGTGTTTGGACCTTTTTAACTCAGATGTTTCTAATGTCGATATTTTGGTGACATTATGGCTTTGTGATTGACTCAATGTGAAAAAAGAAGAGTTCACCCTCCTGCATAAAAGACAATTTTTAAGAAAATTCAAGCAAATTATTTGTATTTTTTGTGTTAATTTTTACAAAATGGCTTTCATAGTTTTAACTATCAGACTGGATCTTTGTGCTAATTGAATGGAAGTTTATAGGCTGGACTTTGGTTTTAAAAAGCATTGCTTTCTGCTTCTTACTTTTTTTTTTTTAAGTACCAAATTGCTTTAGAGAATGTTAAGGACACATGAAGTTTGTTTTTTGTAAACATCAGGGGTCTCAGCGAAAAGCAATTAAAAGTTTTATGCTTGAATCATAGTAAATAATAATGCATGTGTTAATTTGGAACATTATTCAGTTAAAATCTGGGGATCTCATTTTA